TCTTGTATATCTTTTAATATATATAACAAGTTCCTACTCTTATTATAGACTAAAGGAGCGTTAAGTAAGTATAGCGTCTACATTTAGGCGTGTTTTTATCTAATGCTGCTGTAATAACGTTGTTTAGTTATAACTCTACTGTTTTACAACTTCGCGATAGCTAAAAAATGCGCTGTCTTTGCGCAATTTAATATCTTTAATTACTTTCTAAATTAGGTCTATATTTATAGAGTTATGGCGCGTGCAAGGTTAGGATAGTTAGGGTGTTTTGATGTTTAGGGTGGCTCATCGGCTGAACTGGCTCACCTAGTGCCCGATTACTGTACCCCTCAATCCTCCATCTCCCCCGTGTTTCTCTCACGATAGCTCCTCGGAAGGCCTGGAACATCACGGGATACATCCACACATATTGTGATTCGAGGAAAAACGCGCGACCGTACTTTTACGCGATTGGGCTCCCACTCGTCGGCCGTCAAAATGGTCTCAGCCTCATCCGCAGACGCGGCATGCGGCTCACAGCGGAAGATGGCAGCCGCGGTGCAATTGGCGTATATACTCAAGCCTTTGAGCCTCATCCCACATTGAATTCCCCCAAACCAAAATTCGGGTAGCAACTTTCGCCATGACTGCTTTTACCAACCCAGTTCTCCCTGGCTTCAACCCAGACCCGTCCGTCATTCGCGTGGGTAGCGACTACTTCTGTGTCACCTCGTCATTCGAATACTTTCCTGGCGCGCCCATATATCACAGCAAGGATCTCATCAAATGGAAGCTAATCGGCCATGCTCTCACGCGCAAGTCACAACTAGATATCAAGACTCCTGAGCCGGGAGGCGGTATCTGGGCAACAACGATTCGTTATCATAAGGGTACATTCTATATCATTACCAACTCTTTCGACCGATACAGACCGCAAAACGACGATCGAGTATGGCCCCGAGGCTTCTACGTCAAAACCACCAACATCTGGAACGACAGCACGTGGTCCGAACCTGTGTACTTCGACCAGATTGGCTTCGACTTCGACCTGTTCTGGGACGACGATGGCCAGGTATACTTGTCTTCTACGTATAGGAAGCTTGACCGGACTCCTGGGGGCAAATTGAAAGACTTCGCGATACATATATCTACCATTGACCTGGAATCTGGTACGTTGAAGTCTACGCCTAAGATGGTTCGGGAGTCGGAATCCGGTATATCAGAAGGCTCTCATCTCTTCAAGTTGAACGGCTACTACTATCTCTTCACCGCGGAGGGCGGCACAGAGTCTGGGCACTGCGAATATGTGAGCCGGAGCCGGGAAAGCCCCTTCGGACCTTGGGAGCAAGCACCGCACAACCCGCTTTGGCGCAACACAACAGACGACGAGATCCAGAATACTGGCCATTGCGATATTGTTGAGGACACCCAAGGCCAATGGTGGGCCATGTGTCTAGGTGTGCGACCGAGGAAGGAAGATGACGAATGGCGAACTTCGGTTTTCGGTCGCGAGTCAATGTTACTCCCAATTCGCTGGGAAAACGACTGGCCAATCTTCAACGAAGGGAAACCAGTCACACTGCAGATGAACGGGCCGAAAGAGTCCACTGTTGATGACGACAAGGCTTGGAGGGACGTTTTCGGCGGGGTTAGGCTCGGCCTTGGCTGGTACAGGAAGAGTAAGCAATCCAAAAAGCCGACATACGGTGCGAACCTAACACGCCTACAGATACGCCCATGAAGAAAGACTACTCGATGACATCGCGACACGATTCTCTTACCCTAAATGGCGGCCCATACACCCTCTCGATGCCCGCATGTCCAACGCTATTCCTGCGAAAGCAAAGACATTGGCCGGTGACGTGGGAGACCCAACTAGATTTCCAACCGAACGTTTCACGCGTCGAGGCTGGAACTGTATTGTACTGGAATCACACTTGCTACTCTAGCATTGGCATTGCTTTTGCAGATCGCAATGGTCAGCCTCAACGAATCATTCGACTTACCCGTCCAGACATGGAGACTGTGGAGCAACCCATCTCAGAGAAGGGTGAGGTAAAACTCACTATCGAGAGTACTGCTACGTCCTACCGGTTTGGCTATCGGGAAGTCGGCGATGGGGCACAGCAGAGCGCTGAATGGACATGGCTGGGCGAGATTGATACCCAGATCATGACGCGTAACCCAGACATTGGGCAGCCTTTCACTGGCATGATGATGGGCCTGTATTCTTATGGCGAACTGCAGCCTGTACTGACCCCGGCGCATTTCGCTTATGCCCAATTTCGGTAGTCTTACAAGGTCATTGTCCCGTCTGAGGATGACTTATCGCACAACCTGCACCGCAATTCAGGCATACATCATGTCACTCTTGAAGTACTCTAATCAGCACATTATAACAATGTTCTATTCGTAATGCTAATTCCGTGAAGCTACATGATCTAATCGCCATAGACATATCGGGTCATGCTACCACCAGGTGGCTACGCCCTTCAATGGTGCACGCACTCATTCCTCTTCCTCAGTCTCGCCGCATTCACGGCTCCCTTCATCGACACCTGCTTGCGGTCCAAGCCGCCGATTGCCTTGCGATCCAGAGCTACACTCGCTTTGTCATCGTTAGGATACTTGGCAGTGATATTTCCAAACTGCTGATCAGCCTCTTTAGCAATATACACCACCTCACCTCCCACCATCGTGAGCTGGACACGTTGGCGACCAATCATCTCCTCCGGCACAGTGAAGTAGTCGTTCTCCAAAACGATCAGATCAGCGAATTTGCCAACCTCCAGGGATCCAATATACTTGTCGGCCCTCAGGAACTTGGCGCCGTTGATAGTGATGGCGCGAAGAGCAGCTTCGCGGGAGATGCCTTCACCAGGAAACGTGCCATTGTAAGGAGCGCCCTGAGATGCCGAGGAATGTGGATTACCAGGATCACCTGAACGCGTGACTGCTATCTTCAGAGCGAGGAACTCGTCGAGAGGGTCGACTGGCCAGTCACTCCCGTAGGTAACGGGCCGACCGGCTTTCTCGATCTCAGCATAGGCTTGCAAGTTCTGGCGGCGGTATTCGGCTAGCGATGGAAACGTGTTTGGGAGGTATGAAGGGGCGAGTTGCGACCACTGGAAGCTCATGATGGCATCGACTTCCAACTCCTTGAAACGGCCCCAGTCGTCCTGGTGAGAAAGCTCGTCGTGCGCTAGGCCAAGGCGGAAGTCGTGTCCGGGATGCGCTTTGCGGAATGATTCGGCGGCGTCAAGACCAACTCGGACAGCAAGATCGCCGTCGGCATGGAGTTGTGCGTCTATACCGGCGAGAAAGAAGCCCGAGAGAGTACTTGCGAGGATCTCAGGTTCCCAGTATGTCTTCCTGAGCGTGCTTGGGTCTGGTGCCCAGGTCGTGTTAGACCCATTTACCAAGCTCCAATATGGCTCAATAAGAGCTGCCGTTCTTGCTGGATAAGTGATGACACCATCCAAGAAGGCCTTAACGGCCTGCCATTTGAGAGATGGAGCAGGTTGCATTGTAGAGTTGCGGTCGAACCCGCGAATAACCTCGACAGTCTTGGCCACCAGATCAGGCACTTCGGCGACGGAGCTTGGAGCATCAACACGGTAGTCAAAGAACGCTCGTGCGCTCAGACCTCCTCCCTGCTGGACAGCCTGAAACACCTGGTCGTACTCCTTCAAAGCCATCGCCTCTTGAAAGGTAGTGATACCGGACTGGCGCAGTAGCTGCATAGCAGCTAGAGCGGCCTTCACGGCCTCTTCTGGTGAAGGCAGAGGTATGCCGAGTAGATCAGAAGCATTGTCTTCAAGTACGCCTGAAGGCTCCTGGCTTCCGGGTAGCCGTTCGATGACGCCATTGGATGGGTTCGGAGTCGCAGCGGTGATGTTGGATATCTCCAACGCCCGCGAATTCACCAAGATGGTGTGATAGTCGCTTGAGCGGACGACTACAGGGCGTTTCGTCTTCAGCACATCGATGCTTGTCTTGTCGATTTTTCCGCTCCGTGAGGTGAGAGTCGAGTAGTCCACGTTCACCGCTTCCATCCAAGCATCATCCGGTTTGTCGGGTTCATCATCAATGCAGCGCTGGATGTGCTGAAGAACTCCAGGTAGATCGAGCGGCTGGTAGTTCAGGTCGCATTTGAGGAGATAGATGCCGCCACCGAGGATGTGCATATGGGAGTCGATCAAGCCTGGAATGGCAGCGTGGCCTTGGAGATTGACTACCTGAGTCGCATTGCCAATGCGTACTTTGGCATCTTCGTTCGATCCGACAAAGGTGATGATGCCGTCTTTAATTGCCAGCGCTTCGACCTTTGACGAATACGCGTCGAGCGTGTAGATGGAGCCGTTGTGGAACACGGTGTCCGCAAAGGATGGCTGTCGTGCCGGTATGGCGTTTGTTGCAGCATACAGCGCTGCCGCGGTGAGTATTCGCATGAGCATAGTGGTTCCAGAGGCAGACATAGAGAAGCTGGTATGTAGAACTTGATGGTGAGCATGTTCATGGTCGGTCTTGATACCATATATAAGAAACCATCCATCATACCGATGTTCTTTACGTCCGTAACGCGCGAAGCATATATGTTCGGCGCATACGTCCGGCCGAATGTGATGCTGTATGTCTTCCCTAGACAGGAAAGTACACGCGTTTCTGGAGTGGCTGATTGCTACGAAGTATCGCCGACAGCCTCATGTTCGGACATCTTGGCACTTCCGAGCCTTCAGCTACAGCATCATGGGACGATACCCCACATGATCAAAGATCGCACGAAAATACGTGCGAGGGGTTTCGGTGCTTCGGAGTCCGGAGGGGAGATTGTTTGTACGATTGTTGTACAACAAGTATTATTTGCAGAGCGGAGGCGCAGCACAAAGCAGCGCGCAGAGCCTGCATACATCGAACGCTTCGCAAAATCTCACGCATCAGCGCTATTACTACGTCTGCGGCCAATGAAAGACAACAAGCACCGTCTCCCATAAGTAGACTCCACACACTGTGCAGGTATATCAGCCTCTGATGGCGTCCGCTAACGGCTGGAACCACGTCCCAGCAAGCTTCTTATTGCCTGCATCATTCGGATGAACGCCATCGCCAGTCATAGTCTTCGTGTCGAACCCAGTCCACGCGTCTACGACCGTGATGGGGCTGTCTGCAGTCGTCTTGGTCGCCGCCCATGCTTCAATCGCAGTATCCAGGGCAACGACACGTTGCCCACACTCAGCGCAGTTCGAAGGGTTCATGGGAATGATCTTCGCGGCGAGAATCTTCATCGTGGGCTTCGAGGCGCGCATCTGGTCTACGAGCTTGCTGAATGCGGTGGTGATCTCTTGGGGCGAGCGGTTGCTCCAGACGTCGTTCGTACCGAGGTGCATCATGACGATGTCGGGTTTGGCGGATGAGAGCCAACCGGGAAGCTGGTTCTGGTTCGCGATATTTACTGCTAGAAAGCCGCCCTGCCGTTCCGGATCAGCCATGCAATGGGTGCGTGATGATAAGCTTACATGTCCCTCGTTCTCTCCGTCGTATGGAAAGCCACAGCCCTGACCAGCCAGACTGCCTACAAAGTCGGTGTTCTTGATACCGGCTTCTTGAAGGTTTTGCCAGAGGTAAGCCCGCCAGCAGCCCTAAGTTGTGGTTAAGTACGTATCGCAGTAGTATTGGTGCAGGGTACATACTGGGCTACCGGTGATCGAATCGCCGAGAGCCATGATCTTCACCGTCGATTGGCGATTTGTTAGTTCCATTGGAGTTGCTGATGCTGTTACTGCCAAGGCTGCGATAGCCAGCCATGCCGAGCGGATGGTGACGTGCATGTTGGTAGGGTGTATACTTTTCGTACCGTGTTGGGCGGAGCGCAACTTCTAGATTGTTATCGAACGCCTATGTAGTGCAATCTTTGTGTCCTTCGAAATCATCAAGAAATATACACCGAAGAGCTCAGCTCCTCTTATCCCAAGAATAAGCCGGCTGGTCTAGCTGAAGGTCTTGGTATAGTGTCTAGTTGGCGGTGATGACAGCCTCTTCGGTGATTCTGGGGGGCTCGATTCCAGTAATCAGAGCTCGCTCTGCCAAATAACCACGGACAATGGCCTCAAAAGTCGCTCCATGGATCCACAGTTCATCTGGATATGACGCACCCCGCAATATGAGGATCAATCTTGCACGAGAAGACCCACGAACGGGAGATATCGAGGAAAAGGTCCTCCATATTTGGTGTACTCGTGTACCAACTGGAATGCATCGCTCCACGCAGATGCGACGGCCAAGTTGAGGTGAATAAACAGGTGCTATATGCGATGCAACCAGTGCGGCCCACCGAGCTCCGCGCCGAAAAGAAATGACAACGACATGTTCACGTCACAAGGCGTGACAGGGGGAGACAGGTGCACTCCTAATGGCTATGGCGTTGTCGCATACGATATTGAAGTTTGATGAATGTGGTTGTGAGTGATGCGAAGAAAGGAAGTAGACGGCCAGGTGGGACGATGCAGCGGCGCTCAAGGCCCGGAGCGGGTCGCGCACTTCCCCGCTGCCCAAGGCCGTCATCGACACTAACGGCAAAGGATTCCAGCGAACTATCATGACATGCCCAGGTACCTACATGGTAGCAACTGTGCAAAGATTAGTCATTGTTGATTTATCGTGTGCCTCAACCCCAAGACAAGCATTCTGCCATGCCGGATGATAGCCCCCGAGCCGTACCTGGGTACCTACCTAGGTAGTCTTGCTGGATGATGCAAAACTCAACGCCACGATAGAGCGCGATACTCGACCAGCCACCTTATTTAAATCTTACAGCGAGCGGCCCGACCAATGATAAAGCTTGAGCTCTTGCTCAAGTGCGAGTCCCTCAACGTGATACCCAGGTACTTTGGGTTCGTGAAGAAGGTAAGGGACCTCGGGATGTACCAGCCTGCTGTCTCCTTGGTCTCGATATCAAGGAGACAAAGGACCAGAAGCTCGATAGTGGTACACCTATTCCCCTGCATCTCTAAACAGATTCTAGTGGTTATGCTAGGCGCCTTCTTCTTGTCGATCGCAATGTTGCGACAACCGCATAACCAACACGGCGGCACAGAGTGTGTAATGTCTGGAATAGAGTTCGGATATATCGCGAAGGTTTATTACACGCGATCTAAATAGAAGCTTCGTCGATTTTCGCATCCCGCTAGACGCTACAGGTGTTTTCGCCGTGCCATGACATGTCAGATCTGCGATCGGGCTGTGTTTGAGTTCGCAAACAACGACAGGCTAGGAGGACGGCTCGGAGCTCTGGGTATACTTGGGATAGGAAGCCGTTGCAAGGAAGCCCTGGACGGAGTGAATGTACGTGATTGTTGCACGACCCTGGGCACATGTTCACGGAATATTTCGCCATAGGACACGGTGCAGAAGTCCGATCAAATTCGCATTCTGGGTATAATATCGTACGATTATTGACATGGCAAAACCAAGATTCCCATTGATCAGTAAACATCGTACATCTCAAGTCGATGATCTCGTGAATTGTCACCGTTGAGGCGTGATGGGAAGCGTCACAGAACATTAGCGCGTTAACAAACCTACTCGGATCTCCTCGAGACAGTGTCCTCCTGGAAACACTAGAAGCTGCCCCTTTGACACATCGAACATTGCTGTCCTTCCATTCTGATCTGCTAAGGCACGTCAGTCGTCAAGATCAATGAAACCCGGTACACTGGTGAGATCCAGTGTCACCGGCCCTTCTTCTGCCGGTTTCCGATCTATGTATATGAGAGATGCGATTCGTCTAACACGAGGTGTTTTGCTACTGTGCTCAACTACGCGAAGACGCCCGGGAGGCAGAGCGCCGATCATTCGGAACATTCTCCGACAGGTATGGAAACGACCAGCAATCCGGTTCGCGGACCGATTGAGATTGCTATAAGTACATACGCGATTCACGGTCGCGAAAGGAAGGCAACGGGTATAAGAAGCGACCGGCATGTTGGCGCGCAATCGGGCCGTTACCGAGGTGCCAGGCTCGAACGGGCTAGAGGGCGATGCCTGTGGAGATGCCGGTGGATGATCGACAGCTCCGTCGGCATCGTCGACGTTGCGTGCCACAGGGAGCATCTCCGCCAGACGCGTGGCTCACGTGTCATGCAGATGACGGCGGCAGGTCGGTTCAAAGCGTCCGTCGATGTTGAGGCCTCATGCTTTGCCAAGTTAGGCAGGCGACATTCCCAGGTATCATAGCCCAGCGCTCAGGTACGTACCTTAGTGCGCTAACCAAGAACCCCTTGGGCCTTGGGGCTATACTTGAAGGATATCAAATTCAAGCCTTCCGGCGGGTGGCGCTGCATTCTCGCCCGCGTCCATGATCACGGCTAATAGTGGAGGCCAAGACTGGCATTAGCCATTCAGCGCGCGCCGGAGTTCGACTGTATGAACGAGTGGTGGGTATAGGAAAGAGGCGCTTTGCGCACTGCGCCTGCGGGCTCAGGAGATGATAACCGAGATGCGTTCCCTGGCAGGCGGCACGTCGCGAGGCACCGTGCGCTGTTCCGTTGAGAGCTTTCAACATCAGACTGGGAAGTGGAGAGGAGAGGAGACGGGTTCATGCATCAGCAAGTTTCGGAAGAAAGATGTCAAATTCTATGTAACAATCGCTCAGTGAAGTACCGAATTTGGCTCAGCGACGAGATCCTTCTGGCTCTCGCTGTCGCTGATGCGCGAGCTCTGTTCGAAATGCTGCTCGAAATGTCGCGAAACGTATATGTTCTTGCCATACATGCCTCCTTCTTCAGAAGTTGTCTGGTATGGTGTCGTGCTACCAGGTCGACCCAATTCAAAATCATCGTCCATGCGTCTTGCTGTGCTCCTGACACCAATTTGCTTCGTGCTGGCTCCAGTTCCAGTGCCATTTCCGTAGATTGCTCTGCTGGCGTTGAGCGATGAAGAGAAGCCGGGGATGATTTTGACGACCAGTGGCTTGAGTGCAGGAAGTGATGCGCACACGATAGCAAGATTCATCTCGATCGCGGACCAGTAGGCTGTTGGTGCACTGTAATAAGTGTTGTCGTCGGGATGGGCAACCAGGACGACGAGGGCGTGGAGCCGAAGGATCGAGACGACACACACGAACCAACCGATAGTGAGGATAGCAAGGAGAGCAACCTTCTGACGCATAGCAATTTGCAGGGTCCAGATGACTCGAACGGGGAGGAAGGCGACGAGAAGATCGGTCACGATGTTGATGCTGGCGTTCACATACCAAATCCTATGACTAGATTAGAATTGCACGTCGTAGGGCTAAAATCTTTGGTAACACTCACGTTTTGTTGTCTATACACTTCGAAGTCGGCTGCTCAAGAATCTTCCAGTAGGCGTGGATAGGGACGCATGTGAAGATCGAAGTGATGATCGTAGATATACCCCAAAGGATGCACACGGCCATAACGATGTGGAGAGGGATGCGCATCTCTCGCACCGTGAAGATTCGGCCGTATTGCAGAAGAATAGACACTTTGGTGAACATGAGGCTGGCGTTGTAGCAGATGATACTCCAGAACAGGTACTGGGATACATTAGCTTGATAGTATGAAGAAGGGATGGTTTCTCACCTTCAAGATGATTTCAACTCCAGTAGGGAACTCGATGAGGGCCGCGTGTTTGCCGTTGCCAGCGTTTGCTTGCATGACCTGAAGGATACCGGTGGCGATGGAGAGAGCCATGGAGACTACGATGGTGTAGTCTTCCCATCCTAATGATCGTCCCAAGTATCGAAGCCGAGTGAAGAGACGTAGGCCAACGCATATCACTGCGATGCATGTAAAAGCAACGACGATAGACTTGGTGAGTGGACCCCGATCATCCTTGGCCAAGGCAGCCGACTGTTCGGGTGTTAAAGGATCCATGGTGGTTGTGAAAAGGTACAGACGATGCCACAGGTAGCTTGTCGATGTGTCGGACAGGTGCGATGAAGCGACCAAGGCAATCCTTTACATATGTATTCGCGGTTCCCTGTGTGTGGAAGAGTACATGTGTCAGGCACTGCGCCCAGAGGTACCTGCACTGCAGGCTGCACGAGCTAGTGCGCCAGTTCACACAGAATCGGGATGCTACGTCGTTTGAGGAGGTATCCGAAACTTAAAACCGATGGATAAACATGACCCTGGAAGCCGCGGTAGGGAAGATCTGGGGAGATGCTGTGCCTAACGAAGGAGCTAGACTTAGCGGACGGCAAGAAGTTGGCTCGGGCCAATGAGACTTGACACTCCTCACTAAACGCGCAAATAGTCTAGATTTGAGGGGGTATTCTCATGGCGAACCGCTGCAGTAAGCAAGACGCTATACGGACTCACTTGCATGATGCAGTCTATGCGTTTCTCATGGTGGATGCTGATCTTTGCCGCCAACCGAATGAACGTCTCCCAGACCAGGAACTCGTCCCTCGGTTCGCCGGGCTAAGATCATGCAGGTGCTTTGACGAACGAGCTTTCGCGTGGCGCACCCAATGTTACACAAGAATTCGTCTTGGTCGAATACACGACGTCCGTTGCCGAATGATCAGGCAGTCTAAGTCCGTACGGGATGGCTTTCATGATCAGGGGAGAGCTCAGCACGAAGCTGTTGGCGCGAGCATACTGCGATTGTTCCTTGTATGGTCGACTAGGATTGCTGTTCATGGCCGTACCCTTAGCAAATCGTTCCGCCCCGGGTACTGACTGGTGAAGTTGTGCGTCCGCGTCAAGATGATATCTTCACATGCTGAGGGGTACACCAGCACGGAATAGAACCTGGACAGGGTACCACTCGAAGTTGGTAGCGTCATGCACGAAAGCCACCAAATACCGGCTAATTTGTGTGGTGTAATCTTCCCGTAGTCCTAGTGCGACACTAAAGCAGAAGATGGCGAGTCTTGATGTTCGGAAGCATCCCTGCGGATCGGACTTCAAACTCTATCATCTTTAGCTGCCTTACCGCGTACCAACCTGGTGCGCTCTGGTCCGCCGTTCAGGACAGGCCCTGGAAATAACTGATTAGAAATATACATCGTGAAGTGCTTGTAAGGCGGGCCGCCTTTGTCCGTGTTGTGAACCTCGCGTTTAAAGAAACTCCGGTTGTACTGATGAGGCGCCACGCCACGCCACGAGTCTACCGTGTCTGAAGTGTTCTCAACAGGCGCGGAAGGCCTCGCAGCTGTAGTCACACTCTTGTGCGTCGCAAACACCGTGCGAGATCATCTCGCCTAACAAAAGCCTGCTGAGTGTACTGCTGAGTCTTGTCACCGATCAGGCGTCACATAACATCGCGATGCATATGCCATTTTGGCATACCAAGCAATGCAGCATGTGTCTTTCGCGTGGGAAAGATTTGCTGAAGGATCATTCGTGAGGTAACATCCGTTTCAAACTCGAGTACTGCCTCAGGAACCGTGATCCCGTGCAGATATTGTGCTGGCAGCGGCATAACGCGGGGTGCGGCAGGAATCCTACAGCTGAGGTGTGCCCGGACAGAGTCGGTTACAAAGTTTGCGCTACGTCAGCGATGCAGCCAGACGAACGCCCATGCGACATCAGTTGATTTGTGATCTGTTGCGCAGTATGAAAGAAGTCTCCTGGGAATGCGTCATGATTTTGCCATGTAGAGTGCATGCAAGTAAGTGGATGTCTGAGAAGGGAGAAGATGCCGGAGCCTCGGAAGCATCTCGTGAAACGTGATCTCAGCCGGAACGGGTCGATAGCGCCAAAATGTCTCCTTGGCGCACTAGTCTAGTTCGAGACCGCAGCACGGATTCCGTGAGAGCTGACTTCGAACACCAGCCATGCATGGACTGTGGTGTCTTTCCTAGCCACGCAGATCTCCGAATCTCCTCAACGATGCAGACTTAGCGCACGTATCCGTACTGTAACGTGGACCGCGATGTGGCACGTATGTCGATTGCTGTTCTCATCCTACAGTACCGCGCCTCTGGCACCTTGACGTTTCAATAGCTCTGGTATGTATAGCCAGGGTCTTTCCAGATCCTGCACGAAGATGGGTTCGCCGTTGGATCGACATATGGCATGGCATCTTCGCGATTGACACTCTCTAGGTAAGCGAAAACGGCGTAAGGCGCCCCGCAGTAGGTGTAAGCTGACCCAAACGAACAGTTCAAGCACAAGCCAATGTCTTCTCAGCAGTCTCGAAGCTTCAGTTCAGTGATCGTCGGCCCCTGATCTGCAGTCACTGGTCACTACCTGGAGAGTCAGAGACCTTCGAACCAACATGTCACCTCGCATTAACACACCATTTCACGTTTGCCAGAACTTTATGTTCTCGATGCTGTCTGCATCTTGCCATTTCGGTCGCCACGCGTTTGATAGTGCTGTGAACAAGCACAACTTTGCTACCTACTGACCGCGCCACTCGAATCACCTTGCTGGGAGGACATCTGAAGCGCGAAATGATGCGGTAGGCGCTGCATGACACCCATCTGTATATTGACATCATAGTCGATGAACCGGGAATAAATACATACATGATTGTCATGGACGCAACGCATTCTACAGAAGCCAGGAGAATACCATCAGCACTTAGCTCGGTATCCAAACGTTGGTGGCCGGCTAGCGGAACACAAGGCTCTTTTGTGCTGGCTAGCTCCACGCCTTGCACCCAGTTCATCGTTCTTCGGAATTCGGATAAGCAAGCTGCGGGCGCATCTCGCTTGCCGGATGAGTCTCCGCTGGCGTACACTGAGATGGACGATCATTCAATGACGCCGAACGTTCGTACGACTGCGTGCATCTGTGTGATTACTATACGCATGTAAATTTTCTTGCTCACTAAGGTAGAACCGCATGGTGTAGAAGGACAGTAACGAATTGGCGTTGAGTTCACGGAGCTCACTCACTCACATTTGCTGGACCCCGACTATGCTACGACAGAAAAGCTTGATGAGCAACAAATAACCTTTCTGCCTTACTCTTTGCTACCATGGTTTTATCGTGCAGTATTTCTCACCTTCAAGGAGAGAGAGACTGAGAACGAGAGTAACCTTCTAAACGACGCTCAAACCCCAGCCAATCAATGCCGCGTAGGCCTATAGACTGGTCATCCAACGATGATGACAGGATACTTGCAAGATGATCTATCTGGTCTTGATTCAAAGATGAATCCCTCAGTTCGAGACCAAGCTTCAAGTAACCTCGTCCAGGGCGCCTACGATGCTGCTGAAATTCGCTCGCATCATGTTCTGGTTGCCCTATCGGTGTCAGAAGAATATGGCGCTTGTTAGGTAGCAAAGACCACATCTTAGAACTTATGCCGTATCGTATTGGGTTCATCTCCATGCAGTGATGAAGGTCCTGAGTCGAGAACGCGGAGTGCCCGTTCTCTTCGCGGAGCTCGTTCAAACCGTCGATCAGTTCGCGCGTGAGCGACTCGGAGCCAAGAGCTGGTTTGTTGCAGCTGCTTATCAACTGAAATAGCCTGGCAGTTCCTTGGTCGTCGTGATTCGAGTCGCTTTTGTCATTGGACACATGACGTACATCGCCATTACTCGCATACTCTGTGTCCAGTATTGCAAGAACGTCTCCATCGACCTCGTCCGAACAAAGAAAGTCTTCTGTCTTGTACCAGTTTATCTGACCACTGGTAGGACTGCCACCAGCTGCTGATGGTTCCGCGGACGGTAACAGTTCGAGTCGACCGGCATTCTTGTAGTGGGTAGCATGGCCTGTATAGTATACGATCAACAGGTTATGAGGCTGGTCGTGAGTCTCAACGAATGTGGTCACAATCCGATCCATCTGACGTTGTGGTTTGCTTTGGTAGTTGAGTTCTACAACGTCGGTCTCGAAATGGAAACGCTCCCGGAAGACATGTGCGAGCTCCTTCACCTGCGATCGTGTTAGAACAATGGCTTTTCATCTTTTTCGAGGACCCGGAACACTCATGCGGAGGATATTCTACGGGAGTAGAACCTGACTTAGAACTGGAGTTACTTACTTCCTCACCGGTTTTGAATTCATCCAATTCATCAGTCCATTTCAATAGCAGCACAGCAACGTTTGCATACACTCTGGGTCTTCCCATGTTTCTGGCGATTGCTTCAGCCCACCAGTTCTGCATTGCCACTGGATGCTCTTGCGTCTTGTCTCCTGCAGACTGTCTCAGCCTTGCATTTCTTTCTTCCAAAAGACATGTCTCAAAAGCTTCCTCGGCGCTTCTTTTGCGTGAACTGTCAAGTGCCAGCTTTCGCTGCATCTCTGATTCGAGGCGATCAAATGCATTTTCTTTGCCTTCTCCGTAAATAGGTGGCATGTGTACGTCGAAGAGGCCAAGCACAGAGTAGACTGCGTCCTCTTCCCGTTTGGTTTCCCGCCCAGCCGACCAGGACATTCGCTCTTCTATACTGAAGTCTGAGAAATGCAGCGGGGAAGGCCCCAAAGCTCGCAAAGGAATAGCTGTAGCTTGATGAATGACCTGCGACAGTGAACGCTTATCACCTAGGCGTTGACCATCAACGGTAAAGAACTCCACGGAAGATGGAGCGAGTAGTTCCTGTAGCGTCCAGCCTCTGGTGAACCATTTGCTCTTCTGGAACGCAGTCTTCCAAGGCGTCCGAGGCGGAGCCGTCACATCGGAAAGATAGACGTAGCATCGGGTTGAATGTTGATACCATGAGAACATGGAGTTTATCGCTTTCGAGAGTTCCACGCTATCTCTCTTATCGATGCAGCACGTGTCCACCTAACAGGTATTAGCCGAAGCGCAAAGGAAGAGGAACATCACCAGGTCACCCAGAAGTATTCCAGTCCATCATTAGCAGCTTGGTTAGCACAGAAGTGTAATTTGGCATAGCCTTGCTTTTCTTTGCCTCTGCCTTTCACGATGTCTTTGAAGGACACTTCATCGGTGTCAGAACCCCACGTATGTGACAGTATCGCGTAGGGTGGCAGCTGTCTGTCGTCATAGTCAGCAAGGCTGAACTCGCCGTCGGTGTCACGCCGCAGAAGGTGCATGTTGCGAAAGCAGTGGAAGGAAGCTGATCAAGTCGACATCAGAGGTGGTCGCGATGGAAATTGGCAGATCGTGCGCTGACAGCAGCGAAGGAGCGAAAGATATCATGATCATGTCAGCAGTGGCGTGGCTATTCCGTTGAGGGATCGAGGTGCATCCTTCTGAAAGACATGGGTTGGCGTCGCGCGAAGCTGAAGGGCGGGGCAGATTGGCAGGGTCTACACCGGCTCCTGGAGACATCCAACGCCCTGGGCACTAGACTTTAACAACAAGAACGAGCGGTGACCGCACCATGAGCCTTGCGAATTTAACATCTCTTTTCAATGAGGCAGAGCTGAGCTGTGCTGCTACCTGGGTACCACCGTGCGGCCATCTGCCGGCATGATGAGCCCACCCTACCTAGGTATTCGGGGGACATTTCGAACGTCCGCCCTTAGAGCATACAATCAAAGCCACTGATCTAAGAGTCTAATTGCGGTAATATCCTGCTAACATCCGCTCTCCATGTTAATGTAGGCTGCACGGCGCCTGTCTCGCGTATTGAATGAACAGGGTGAGCTGTACGCGATATCGAGTAAGCCGGCTGCGCCCCCAAGACGCACATCTCAGCCTTCCTAATCTCATCAGCCATAAACTCATGGTTCTGGCTTCTATCCTCTTCCCGCGCATGTATGATGTTTTGACTGATTGAGTAGACACAATTACTGCTTCGAAAGCTCAGAATGGCGGATCCTCTCAGCATCGCAGGATCCGTGGTCGGCATCACAGCAGCCGGCGTACAAGCCTCCGTAAAGCTTTACGCACTCGCCGACAAGGTCGCGACAGCAAGCCAAAGAGTCACAAGCATCGCGGACGACATTAGTAGCACATGCGCTATCCTCAACCAAGTGCGCGAACTCATCATACCTCAGCCTGATGCGCAAGGCACCCTCAAGTCGGTCTTCAACTCCGTCGCTCTCAGCGATATTTCGCATGCTCTTCGCCGCTGCAGGTCTTCCTTCACGGACATCGAGGCTCTTTTGCGTCGCGCGTTCGAGCAAGTGGGAAAACGCTCCGCGCTGCGTTCAAACATCAAACTTTCCCGGTTCGAACAAGCCAAATGGCCGTTTTTGCAGCCACAATTCGACGAGTTGCGCAACGATCTTCGAGATGCAAAAGGCAATCTTGTTTTGATGATTGCTGTAGCGAGCCTTGCGCTTGCACAGCGAGATGGACGGCAGCGACCGATTCATGATGGGGAGCGACTCGAGCTTGGATCTACCATTGTGCATCTGCAACGGGCGAGCACAGTCAAAACACAACCTCAACACTCTTCAAAGATTCCTCGAAGGGAGGTGAAGGACTCGCAAAGTCTTTCTACCTCAGGTGTTGATGCCGACAAGGGCATGTCTTCCAAGCAAGCACCCATGTTTGCGATGGCGACTTTGGCAAAAGCCCTTCCGCCTGGCCCACCAGTATCGGACGAGTTCCCGTCGCCTTCCAGTGATAGAGATAGAGGAATCTCGTTACCCGGAACCGGTATGAGTGTCGCAAATGTGTCTCTGGCCTCCATCGGTGATACACAAGTTCGAGCGGCAGGACTTCCTCTCAGATCGCACGCATCTCTTGGACCAAGTGAGCCAGTCCGAGCCAGTTCACGTTCAAGTCCAGGAGGTATAACATTGTCACGAAGAGTAATGATCCCAGGTCCGAGTTCACCGGGGGAGTCCCACCCTTCAGATGAACCTATTCCCCAGAAATCTACACCTTCTACCCCACCATTCGAGTCGACGGCAGCAGCCCAGCAACATGAGACGCAACCAGAGGCGACTCCCGCTGCAGGTAGTGACAATGTAACCACCGCAGACAATGACGATGTAATCTGCTTCTATTCGGGATTTGCAACCACTTTTCTTCAGGGACTTCAAACAGGTCACGGCGACTCACTCTTGTTAGATGGGATGGAGCTACCCCACGCCTCACTCGAGAAACTGGTCAAAAAATACACCGACGAAGGCAACGATCCACACATCGCGATGTCAGAGCTCACACGAGAGCAGCAGGCCATGATCAAAGAGACGATTAATGGAGACAATTGGGAAATAGCGTATATTCGCTTACAACGCAATATCAGTGTATCCAGTGTATTTGGTACATTGAACGTTGAAACGCTTAAGTGGATCTCCAGAATGGAAATGAAGGAACCCAAAATGCCATCGGTAAATTCTCCGAGTGTGCTAGCCGCAGGAGGATCTCATACCTCATCTCAACTGTCATCGCCCGCAAAGTTTATCCGTCCTGCTTCTTCGACTTCCGACCTCAATCGCATGCCTAGTACCCGGAGTGGCCAACAAACCGGTGGAATACGCGTGAACATATCCAGAAGTGACTTAGTGTCTCCAGACTTCAATATGTACAACCAAAGATCCTCCAAGCCCGGGAAAAAGCCTGTTACACCTGAAGCCACGCCAATCCGTCGTTCAGAAACAGCAATGCCAGATGCGGACGACGAATCCGACAACCAGCTCGATTCACCGCCACAACACCCGCGCGATGAATCTGAGGATGCGCTGGAGGAGCAATTCTCCTATGAGAATCCCAATCTTGATATGCAACTACCGGTATTTGATCTACCAACGGTCTCAAGTGGATTGCAATTCATGCACGGAGAGCGAGACCTTCCTGAAGAACCTGCAGAGGAGGATGGGGAAGACATTGTGAATGAGCTTCTTGCTCGGTGGACGACCTCATGATCTATTCCTTTCCCCCTTTTTCATCTAGCCGCAAGGGGACTACGAGTAATTCGACGGTCGGCATCAACCGCAAGCAAACACAACTTCCTTCATGAGTACAGATAGATACTAAACATATTCTAGAGTAAACTATCCTTTCCCTCACCCTCACACATCTCGCACACTACTCCCAATCACTTGGATAACGCAAATGCATTGAAACGCCGCGCATCGTCGCGCATAGACTGCCATGGTATCTCGAACCCTTTACAGTACATGATGAAGCCCCGCCATATTGCGCCAACAGATGCGTTTTGAAAATGCTCCGAATGAACATTACGAAGAAGAGAATCCGCACAAAACACCCCTCCACCTAGCCTACAACATCAATATCGCCATCAGCATCCACATCCTCCTCCCCCTCAGCATCAACATCACCATCCGCATCCACATCCACATCCCCACCATCCACCCCCCTCAACGCAACCGGCAACTGCCCCCTCACATTCTCAAACTCTCTCGCCGCCGCATCCGCCTCAGCCACAAGTCCATTCCTCCTATAAGTATTCATACAAAGCCCCGCAACAACAGCAACCCACAGCGGCCTATGCACTTTAACCGCCTGTGACCTCGCCGCACGAATCGCCTGGACACTTTTCTCGCCGACGGTCTCGGCGAAGAAGCGCGCAACAAAGTAACACATCATCATAGCGACGAATTCGAAGTTCTGGGTTCGTTTTGACACATCCTGGGCCATGCCTACGGCGGCTTGAACGGTTTTCTTCTGTTGGAGGATGGGCGCGTCTTCGCTGTGGTAGGCTTGGACGAGGCGGAAGGCGATGCGGATATATTGGTTCGGGTGGTCGTCGCAGAGGGGTTTTATTTGGGCTAGAAGGAGGGCTGCTTGGAAGTGTTGTGGGTGCGAGGCATCGCGGAGAATGAGGAGGCGGTTCAATGCTGCCATTATTGCAATGTCTGTTTTAGCGGGGGTTGCGTGGCCCTTCTCTGGTATCGCGAGGGCGTCCGAGGACAATGCGGCTAGTGAGGAGTTGTGGGATCCGTTAATCTGGTCGGTGATGGCGGAGAAGTAGGCGAGCGTGCGAGCGAATGCTTCCTGGTTGTTGTATGGGGTCGTCGAGATCTTCTTCTTGAGGAAACCCAACGCATCGTCGGCGGTCGCGGAATCGTTCCTAGTACGCGCCATGAGGCCGATGGCGAACATGGAATACCAGTCGAGGACCATGTTCCACTCGATGCGCGCAAAGGCGATGGATATAGGTACGCCGTTGTAAACGCGTCGTTTCGCAGTCTCTCGGAAGCGCTGATGTGCTTCTTTCATGAAATTCAGGCCCTTCTCATGAACATGTTGGTCCAGAGCACAGATGTGGAAGCACAACGCTTGAAGATCCTCCTTCGGAAGCCATGCAAATACCAATTCGTCCTTTTGCTCCGCGTTCTTTCGGAAGATGCCAGCAGTGTCGAACGTGAGATGACCTCCAAAACTCCGCTCAATGAGAACAGTGAAGACGCCGCTTTGGGAGCCGCCCTGTTCGTTTTTGTCGCCTAGTATGGATTCCAGAAGCGCGGTAGACTTCTGTGGGTTGGGGCTGCCTTTTTGGATACCGCTAGCGATGTCAATAATATCGATGAGAGTGCCAAACGATCCTAGCTGCTTGGCTGACACTTGAAGCTGCAGGCTTCTGGCTGCTGCGATAGCGCGTTGGGCTTGTTCGAGTCGATCGCTTGCACCCGAGCGTAGATGGACCATGGCTTCGAGTACATGGCAAGCGACGTAGATGGCTCGATCACCCCGCCGGTCCGCGTGATCTTGTATAGCATGGAGTTGCTGGAGAGCCAATGCTACCTCGACACGACCCGGTATCTGCAGTGCGAGCGTGACTTTGAGAAACCGCAGCGCATACACCCAGGCAATGTGTTGAAAGGTCTCCGCCTCCTTTATAGGCTGATCGAGTGACTTGAGGCCGGCGCGGTGATTGGTCTTGAACTGATATCGTGCTTGGAGATGGAGAGCAGCAAACTTCAGATCTTGCAGGCGATGGCGTCCGCAGAGCGATATCTGCTTGGACAGAATCTCCTCGATCCGACTGGAAATGTCCGCGGCCTCGATGTCCGTCTCTTCAATCATCAAGCTGGCGTACCTCAACCGCAGCTTGGCTTCGTCTCTAGGCGGCATGTTGAAGTCCTTCACCACAGTGTCCATGCACCCCATGGCGGTGGACATTAACTTGTAGTATTGCCTGACGTCGGCCTCCCTTCTCTCCCGTATGAGCAGCGATCCCATGCCTCGTGCGACTGCAATGTATTCGTCCGCAGCCGTGAGCAGCAGTTCGGAGAGCTCGGCAGGAAGGGCCTTCTGGGGAAGATGTGCGCGCTTCGTGGGCGTGAGCTGGTGCAAAGACGACGCTTTCGGTATGACGACCTGGGGATGCATTCTTGGTTTGGACGAGGGCGGTTGAGGGAACGGACTGCCATACTGGCTCGACGGCGTCCGAGACTGTGGGGGTACGCGCTGTTGTTGGGGCGTCGATTGAGGGGGTCGCTGTTGCTGAGGGGTAGATTGTGGGGGTCGCGGTTGTTGAGGAGTAGATTGCGAGGGAAGACGTTGTTCTTGAAGCGTGGGTTGTGAGGGCATACGCTGCAGCTGGGGCGTTGACTGTGACTGTGGAGGTCGCTGGTGCTGGGGTGTCGACTGTGGAGGGCGCTGTTGTTGGGGTGTCGACTGCGAAGGTCGCTGCTGTTGTGGCGTGTTCTGAGAGGACATGTACTGCTGCTGAGGCGTCGACTGCGAAGGTACCCGCTGTTGCTGAGGCGTCGTCTGCGGCTGTAGAGGCGCTCGAGACTGGGCTTGACTGTGCGAAGGAGTGACGACGGGTCGCTGCTGTGGCCTGGGCCCGTTCTCTTGAAATGACGGCGACCGCTGCACTGGCTTGGAGCTGGGCGTGTTGGGTGCCTGCTGTGCGCTATACCGCCGTTGTTGGTCACCCGAGCCGTCTGTTTGCGCGATGCCCGTGCTGCCTGTTCGCTGGACCGGCACCTGGACATGTCGGATCCTTGGGGGCTGCATCTGCGGCATGGGGGCATATTGCTGTGTCCTCGGGGGAATGACAACTTGAGGCTGCCGTTGGTACTGGGGCTGCTGTGGTGGCTGCATCTGGGGAGGCATTGGCGCATACTGCTGGCTCATGGGTCGGGGCATGCTGGGCTGTGGCGGCAGTTGGTACTGCTGTGGCTGTGACTGAGGATATCCCTGTGGTGCCTGCATCTGCATGGGAGGATACTGAGGGTAGCCATGCTGCTGGTAGACATTTGGCTGCTGTTGTTGCGGTTGTTGCGGAGGCGGCGCATACGGATTGTACTGGCCGTTCGGATAGCCCTGGGGCTGCCAGCCGTATCGCGGATCCATGGCGGGGGATGGTCAGGAGAGGAATCGTCACCGAGAGTCGAGGTACAGGCGGTGCATCGTGGGCGAAAGCGGGGTGTCGACGTGAGGACGTGTAATGGGCAGTCGCGAACTTGGGCAATCGCGAACGCGCCAGCGCCGTTGAGCGCCATTGGCCGACAGACGCGCGCTTGCTGCACCAACACATGCAGCCTAGTCGTAGCCAGACCGAGGCCCAGTTCTTTCAACCTTACGTACGTATGCGATTCCAGATAAGACTTTCAACATCTCTTTGTCAAGATCAATCCACATGGAGGGCTCTCCTAGAAACTAGATCCACCGACTACACCAAACATTTCAGCCATTGAGCGACTGACTGGGGGTATCGTGAAAGAGCTAGGAACAGGATCGAAGGCGTGTAATAGTGCTGAGGTGTGATTTCAATCCGTGGTGTCTTCAGAACTCATACAAAATCGCATCGCCTTCTGGGATCTACCTAGGTAGACCAGACACCACTCCCACCGAACCCATCATGTCTTGGCTCCTAGGCCACAGCAAAACGACCTACACCTCCCATGCCTCGCCAACACCCCTCCAAACCAAGGCCGGCTCAAAAACAAACCTGAAAGAGATCGCCGAGTCCTCAATCCCACCATGCCGTCTAAACCCCTTCCTCTTCAACGGCCATCTCCAGACAATGTACACAGCCGTCAAAGACCCCGGCCCAGAAATCTACTACAAGCGCCAAATCTTCGACTCGGACCACTCCGTCTACCCCGGGACCTTCGCCGTAGACTTCGTAGTACCAAAAGAAGAAGGACTCGCCTCCGCTATACGCATGGCCGAAGAGAAGGACACGACCGAACTCCCCGAGCGAACCACAAACTTCACACCCAAAGAATGGGAAGCAATAGGCAGCTCCGACAACACGCCCATGCTAATAGCCCTCCACGGCCTAACCGGCGGCTCCCACGAAGTCTACCTCCGCGAAACCCTCCAACCGCTCCTGACATCGCGCACGCAACCCTGGGCCGCATGTGTCGTAAATGGCCGTGGCTGCGCCTTATCCAAAATTTCCACCCCCCAACTCTTCAACTCACGCGCAACCTGGGACCTGCGTCAAACCATCAAAACACTGCACGCCCTCTTCCCCAACCGCCCCCTCTACGCCATAGGCTTCAGCCTCGGCGCCAACATCCTCACAAACTACTGCGGCGAAGAAGGCCCCCGCTGCACCCTTAAAGCCGCGGTATCCTGTTCGAACCCGTGGAACCTAGAAGTCTGTAACACAACCCTCCAATCCACATACCTAGGCCTGCACATCTACTCCCGCACCATGGGCAAGAACCTCATGAATCTCTTCCACCGGCACCGCTCGCAGATACTAAAGAACCCTGGTATCGACGAGACGGCGCTGTTGGCGAGTAAATACCTCCATGAGTTTGATAGACATGTCCAGTGTCCTACGTGGGGGTATCCAACCGAAGGCGCGTATTACAGGGACTCGCAGTCTGTGGATGCGGTGTTGGCGATTCGGATTCCCTTTTTGGGGATTAATGCGGAGGACGATCCTATTAGCAATAAAGCGGGATTGCCGTATCAGGAGGTATTGCAGAATCCGAATACTTTGTTGTGTACGACGGATTGGGGTGGTCATCTGGGGTCTTTTCAGTTGGGTGGGGGACGCTGGTTTGCGAGTGCTGCGGCGGCGTTTTTGGAGAAGATGTTTGAGGAGGTGGAGGGGGAGGCTACGAAGGGGGTGGATGAGGGGAAGGATGTGAATATGGGTGGGTTGCAGGGGAAGAAGTATCCTATCTTCGATCCGAATCATCGGAGGTTGATATTGCCTGAGGCTTGAATCATTGAGTTATGATTTGGAGATTGGATTGGATTGGATTGTAAATTTGGTTGGGTATCATAGACTTTTAGATATCGTAGATCGCTTGGAGACCTGATGTGTTGCGCGACATATGACGCCCTCTCCTCTGCCGTACTTTTACGCTCGTGTTCGCTGCATGCGCTGCCTATCGACACTGGCCTTCTCGATATCGTACACGATGCGTGATCGTCTCGCCGCAATGTCTGTCCGTCTTTTTGGTACCTCCCCATCGAAATCGAACTCACGCCCACAGCTCGTTCCTTCAACCAAAGCTAACCCTCTTCCTCTGCTTGAACTTGCGATCCTTCTCCTTGATCTTGTCGCCCTCATCCTTATTCCCACCAGCACCAGGCTCACTATGCCTCTTCCTCTTCTTCTTGAGATCCTGTTTCCTCTCCTCGAAAGCTTGGTCCTTATCTGATTTCCTCGCCTCGGCTTCTTTCCGCTTGGCCTCGCGTATCTCTTCTAGCTGACGTGCTTTGGCGATCTTGGACTCGAGGTGGCCTTCCTTCTCGGCGTTGACGACGGACATGATGGCCATCTTGTGGACGTCAGTGTTAGGTTAAAGAGGGAGGAATTGGACGGAGGATTAGATTGACATACCATACTAGCCGGATCATCAACAAACTTCTTCCCCTTCTTCACACCCTTCGGTTTCGCAATACCAGCAGGTATAATGCCGTTCAGCGCCGGGATATCCAGTTCCTTCTCCGTATACACGCGCTTCTTCTTCCTGCCATCCCTGGAAACAACACTCTTGGTTTTTTGCTGGCCACCCGGTTTAGCCAAGGACATGGACTTTTGCTTGCGCTTCGATATGCCCTCGGGCGCGCTACCAGTCGGTTTCGCAGATTTCGCTTTCGGTTTGTTGGCGCCGGATTTCGCTGGGCCGGATTTGCCTTTTGAGGAGGTCTTGCCCTTGGTGGAGGGCTTGGAGAGACCCATTTTAGCGAAGAGCGTGGTGCGTGGGTGAAGTTGGCGCAAAAGTTGGTGTTGGTTGTAAAGAGTCTGGAAGTCTGGAACTTTTCGTCGGCGGTTGGCGAGCTGCAGATGCCGACCGACGCACCAGCACGTAAGTGCCAAGGGCAAGCGCGACCGAGTGGACCGCAACCTCGACTGGCGCAACCGCATCTCCAGCAGCTAGCTAGCTCCTTGCATCACACCCCCAACACCACGATCCCACACTCCACCGAGTCGCATACGCATACGCACGGCATGATGGAGGACTCGAATCGCCTCTTCCGCTTCCCCAAGCCCGCGTGGATGAACAGCGCCAACACGCGGACTGCCGGCGTCTACATCGCGGGAGCCTTGGTGCGCGCCTCTCGCATGCCACACCTACACCAAACACAGTCACTAACAATGCCTCGCAGTTCGCCATGGGCTTCTACACCCTCATCGACATCTCGGTCTGGTCCAAGTCGGCCATGAACGGCTCCGAACCAACCGTCCACATCACCTTCGTCGACTGGATCCCCGGCATCTGCAGCGCCCTCGGCATGCTCGTCATCAACAGCATCGACAAGTCGCGTCTGTCTGCCGACAGCTTCTCCTACTCTGGAAACGGCGTCGCGTGGAAGGCGAGGCTGGTGTTGTTCTTGGGCTTTGCGCTGTTGGCTGGTGGGCTTGCGGGCAGTGTTGTGGTTATGGTTATGAAGTTTGTTGTTGTCGGGCATACTTGGCCGACTCTTTGGCTGGGCGTTGGAAACGTCGTTGCTAATGCGCTTCTTATGCTGAGGTGAGTACGATATATGAAGCTCTGGGATGGCTGCTAATGTTGCGTAGTTCCGCCGTGCTCTGGATTGCGCAGAACATGGAAGACGAATACACCTACAACCTGGCGTTGTAGGCTACTGTCGGATCAAGCGTCAGGGTTGAGGACGGATATCGCGCGTTCTGTATCTGGACGCGCGCATGGAACGGATATAATTATGTACGGGTATTTGAAGGGTCGGGACTGTTCGTCATAGGCAGCTTGTTGTTTCATGCCAGTCATTCAGCGATTTCGAGTTATCATGTTCCAATACGGACAACCAAAGTCATCCTATGCATTATGTTCGATATACTTGTACAAAAACGCTTAGCAAACTATGGATACAACATAAACATGGGGCAGCACCGATCCGAATCTTCCGGCTGTCAGCATTTGCTTTCAACGCCCTCAACATTCCTCCAGTGGTCGCGCTGGACCAGATTGTGTGTGTGCGGTTCCTCATTGCTGAGTCCCGCCGGCGAGTCAGAAGTCTTCTTGCTCCTGGAAGAACAGGGTGAAGCTGATGATGGTCGCGTATATCAGAAGACCGCCGAAGATGGACATGGCCGCCGCGCCGCCCGCGATCTCTGCCGAATGCCACAGTAGTGTCGGGAGGGCTGTCAACGTGTTAGCGGTCTGCCAAAATACCCGCCGAATCGTCCCTGTGCCACCCAGCTGTACTCACCAATACCCATGACCACAAAGAAGCCTGTCAAGAACCGTCCAAAGTCGACGACACCATTTCCGGTGCTTTCCATAAAATCATCGCGGTTTGCTGCGCGGCCGCACAGCCAGTTGGGCAGGGGCGCGATTACGTAGGTTGCGACGACGAGAAGCGTGAGGTAGTTCTTAAAGAGCGCGGCGGAGAGGATGACAAGGAGGAAGCCGATCGCCAGGACCTAGTATGACGGTGTTAGCGAATGCATAGTGGAACAGCGAGCGCGCGTGCATGCGACAGGCTGACGTACGAAGGACAACCCTATGATGGTCTTGATGCCGGCCATGGTGGATTCGTAGCGGGGTGCACGTGACGATAGTGTGTTGCAGAAGTATGCGCCGACGTCGCCTTGGTTCGATCCTCGGTCCGGCGAAGATGTTCGGTTGCTGTGATGGGGGTCTGGCTGCTAGACGCCTGGTGGTGAGGTTGCGTCGCACGCGCTAAGGGCCTTGCCAAGCTTGGAGCTTCTGGAGCTCATCGTCGTCAACAGCGGGTGCCTCCAGCTGCAACACCACATTCTCTCGGTACTCGTCCCACGCCGCACACCACACGACCACCGTCTTCGCCACTAGATTGCAGCACCACCGTAGAACATACTGCATCTCGACTTCCTTCTTTTAGCCTTCCACAAACCACCCCACACCCCACGATCCCGCCTTCAAGATGTTCCGCAACAACTACGACAACGACTCGGTCACATTCTCACCACAAGGCCGCATCTTCCAGGTGGAATATGCACAGGAAGCGGTCAAGCAGGGTTCCGTCGTCGTCGGAATCGTCAGCAAGACCCATGCAGTACTCGCCGCAATCAAGGTAATTACTCACGCTCTCTCTACTATACCAACAATCCCTAATAGACTACCAGCGAAACGCCGAAGAACTCTCTTCCTACCAGAAGAAGATCATCACCATCGATTCGCACTTCGGTGTGGCCCTCGCCGGTCTCGCCTCAGACGCCCGTGTGCTCTCCAACTTCATGAAGCAACAATCACTGGCATCCCGCCTCACATACGACCGCGCGATCCCCCTCTCTGAGATTACCTCCCGCATTGCCGACCGCGCCCAGACCAACACCCAACAGTACGGACGGAGACCCTACGGTGTGGGACTGTTGATTGCCGGTGTCGACGCAAAGGGCCCGCATCTGTTCGAGTTCCAGCCCAGCGGTGTTACACAGGAGATGGTTGCATGCGGTATCGGTGCTAGGAGTCAAATGGCGAGGACATACCTTGAGAGGCATCTGGACGACTTCGAGGGCGCTAGCAGGGAGGAGTTGATCAAGCACGCACTGAGGGCGCTGAAGGAGTCGCTGTCACAGGACAAGGAGCTGACTGTCGACAACACCAGCGTCGGTATCAGCGGTATTGGCGAGGACTTTGTGCACCATGAAGGCCAGGATGTTGCGGAGTGGCTGGACGCTACCTTTGAGAACAGGGAAGGCGGCGACGATACCGCCGAGGGCGGAGAGGCCATGGAGTTGTAGGGAAGCGTGCAATCTGCAAGACTCAGTATAGCCGCTTGACGAGAGACTGTAGATTATGATGTAGCCACCCGGCTATGAAAACACAATGAACAAGATTACGAATTGCTGCATGTCTTGAAGTGTTTCAGAGTATCGTGGAGGTACTCAGTGTCTTTTGTAGTTGCTTTCCATCAAGTAAAACATTATGTATCCGCCAGGGTACAGCTTACCCAAAACGCTTCCCGTACCTGATATGCGCACGTGATCTGCAGCTCCGAGCCGGATGCGCGAAATCTCGCCGGAGCTCAGCAACTTCAACACCTGCACCCGCAACCCAAACCCCGTCCACACCCACGAACCCGCATCCTACCATCACAATGGCATTCGCGTGGAAAGCCGCCGGTCTCACGTACGCCCGCCCACCTCTGCAGCCGCTGCAGCCCCAGATTTGAACCCGCCATTGACTGTTGAACAGCTACAACCGCTACATTGCCGTCGCATCGCGCGTCGTGCGCCGTTCGCTCAAGGAGGACAAGCGCATCGCTGCCGAGCGAAGGGGCGAGAGCGAACTCCGCTTCGCCAAGTGGGAGGTGAGTCAGGATGATGGCATGGGATGGATTGAGGAAGTTGAGCTGGGCTAACGGGATGGGCAGAACGGCAAGCAGGGCGAGCTGAAGGAGCTCAACGCTGCGGCGCTCCAGGCACAGGCCGATGCCGCCAAGACCTCGTAAAGCAATTGAGAGGAAGGGACATGGCATAGACACGATGGAGTGGCATGGACAACGGAGGAGAGATGACGCTTGGGGAGGATAGACGTATAAGCTGTACTATCAAGCTGGAGCGGAATCAAAGCCGATGCACACCAACTATTGAGCCGACATTCACTCTCCCCAAGAATTCAATGTGCTTGTGAAGTAGAAGTGATATCACGGTCGTGGCTACCAGTAATGTTGCCGCTTGCCTCGGACGCGCGCCTGTCCAACTCGGCTGTCACAAATCTTCCCGCATCGGCACCGACTCCACCACAACATGGCAGATGCGTCTAGCAGCCACAGCACAGCCCCCACCCCGGATCATGACACAGGTATAGCCGTTGACGGGGCTGGTAATTATTTCTTCTACTTCTGCGTAGAGCAGTCGATACTGATGATGCACAGGCCCCTCGCATGCGCAAGAGTCTGCGCCTACCATCTCGGCCTCTACTTCCGCTAATTTACCCTTGAGACAATCAAGACATTTGGTCGCGGGGACGCAGCCAAAGATTCATGATGTGACGGACAAGTTCACGAGGGCTTGTAATGGTGAGTTGCGATCTCAGGTACATGGAGGGGCATGGCGGGGCTGCCTCGTCATGTCGTACTACGGTGGTTACGACGATATGTTCAGGCAACATAAACTGACAACATCCAGCTCTCGAAGTCGGTCAACTCGTCAAAGATGAATACTTCACGCTGTTTGAGTCCATCGGGGCCATCGAAGTACGCCGCTCTTCTTACTAAAATGATGATACTCTACTTACACGCAACAGATCATGGACCCCAAAATGGACAGCGGCTTCCTCCAGCCCGGAGAAACCCTAGAAGACGACTACGATACTCTGGCTCCCCTTCTACCTGAGGAACTAATAGGCATCATGGACCAACTACTCTGCTACGAAATGGCCTGGCATACCGGCTATCCGTTATCCCAAACCCTCTTCACGTCTTTGCACATCGATAAGCTGCTCTGGCCCGAGACTAAGATCCTCGAGCAGGCGCAGTTCTACCGTGGGGAAATCCTGCATGAGAGACGACCTGGACCGTTGCTGGAAGTACTGAGAGCGTATTGTCTGGCGTTGATCAAGGGTTGCGACTTTGTGATTGCCAAGATTACGGGCAGGGATTACTTTGAAGAGGAGGACTTTTGTACGCATACGTATAATCGGGTGTTGTTTGTTAGTGTGCCGATGGATGTGTTTTTGAGAGAGTTGGATGCGGCGATGGAGACGATTGAGGAGTATGCTCCACCGCGTACTGGACAGTCGACAGCCTGCTAACACATCGTAGTCCCGACTTTGAGATCAACGATGCGCTTCGGAAGGCAATCAGTTCACGATTAGAACTCCGGAAAGATTTCCTTCGCGCCCTTGACTTGGATCTACCACTCGATCAGATCTCCTATTCATGGCCACCAATACTTCAAGGTATCGACTCGTTGAAGAACACGCATCAGCTTGGGAAGACTGTGCCCGGTGCTTTCAGTCCGAAGATGCAACGCCGTCTCGCCTCTACAGTGCCCCCACGACCAGTCGTAGAACTCGACTTCAAAGATGCGTTGGAGAAGCTACACCAGATAGCTACCGACTGCGCAGAAGCCACGCGCTTCCCAGCTCTTCCACAAGACCCCCTCGAATACCAGTCCTTCCTGTGGCACTTCTCTGCTCGCCCACCCCCGCCACTGACATACGCCCGCTCCTACCTTGCAACCCTACTCTTCCACCCCGACGTCCTTAACGCCTCCGTCTCCCTCCCTCTCGTCGACGTAAAGACACTCGTCTTCCCGTCTTCTCCCGTCATAGACCCGATCAACTGGACAATGTCACCACCGCGCAATGCCCTGATCCCCAAACCCCCACGCCTCCAGTTCGCAATGCTCATCGACGAATTCGTAGACCGCGCCGGTCAAGCGTACCTCGATCTCTGGGTCGCCATGGGCCAGAACCGCTGCCGACTGAGACGAATGTTGACGCACGTCATCACGGGCTGGGATCTGCTCCAAGCCGACGCAAGCTCAATCGACATGGACATTTCCTCCGCGGCCGCCACTCTCGCTCAGAGTGCTCAAGTTATGGAATTCTCCCTCTCTACCTGGGTCTACCACAAGAAGCTGTGGATGATAGAAAAGGTCATCTTACTTGGCTTCGAACAGGATATCTACCTCCCGGATGAATACGCGGGCATGTACCTCTTCCTCTCGCTCATCGCTACACGACGGAAAGAGTTGCTCAAGAGGGTGGAAGCTCACTACCTCAGTATCTCCACCGAGCTCCTCAAATCACGACGGTTCAGAGAGGTTCAGGACGTAGAGGAAGCGTCACCTTTTCTGGACTCCCTGCTCGCCGAGACGGATGGAACCGCGTCGTTAGCCATGGCTCTCGCCCGCTTCTACGTCATCTGCGGCTATTTGGGTAAACTACCCATGCCCCGCCGCACTCCCTTCTCCACAGAGAAACTCCGCTATGAACTCAGGATGAAACCTTTCCTCGCTTTGCAACCACCCGAAGCGCCTCCCTTCGACGATTTCAAAGCGTATAGCCAGCCTTATGGACCGATGCCGTCTGCTTCCGAGCCTCCACCCGAGGCTTTCGTTCAGGACGTTCAAGATAAGGACAGCCAGCTCTGGCAAGAAGTAGACGACCGCATCAAGGCGGCAAAAGCAGCGTTTGCCGAACACAAGAGATTGGGTGTGAGCACGGCGAAGGCGGAGGGTGTCAAGGCGAGTTGGGAGGATGAGGTTAGGAGGATGGTGGCAAGTTGTGTTAGTTTGGGGTTGGCGGTTAAGGAGGTTAAGGATCTTGTTGTTGTTGGGGAGCGTGGTGGCAAGGAGGAGGAAGGGAGGGGTGATATTGGTAAGGGGTTCAAAGTGGAGATTCCGGAGGCGGCGACGGGGAAGAGGTATGCTGAGGGGTGGATCGTTGGGAAGGTTGTTAAGGATTGAGGTGGTGGGATTGGAGCGAGGGTGCTGGACATATACTGATACTCGACGAGTGATGCCGGATAAGTAGACAACGTAGGCATCAGAGTTCGCTCAACGAGACACACAATAACCGCGAGCTTGCGACAGTGCCACCAATAAGGAAGTCAAGTTACAGGGTTAAAAACCTGAAGTCGAGAGACAAGTGAGTATTGACACCTCCGAGTGAGACGAGTTGCAGCAGCAAGTCGGTAGCTTAACAACACAAGTTAAGAAGGCTATTTATTCGCTAGCGAGACAAGCTGCAGCGGCAAGTTGACGACACAGCACAAGTAAACAAGGTCACCTCTAAGCGAGACGAGTTGCAAAAGGCCAACCATATACTTGTTCAGCGAGTTGCGGAGCTTGTGAATGAGTGCGGTACTATGTGTGACAGTCGCGACCAGTCTGAGGAGCAACTCCAACAGCTTAAGGAGCAAGTTGTACGCCTGACCAACGGGGGTGGCTAGTCACGCCAAGAAATCATTGTTGAGTTCGTTACGTCGGAAGACGTGTATAACTCTTACGCAAACCGAGTAGCTACTTCATCAAGCATGTCACTCTCAGAAGACTATCAAGATATCAGCGTACTTGCGGAAAACAGGGGATAAGGTGATGTATGCGTCACAATAGCTTCAAGTCCTCACAGCCCCATATCTCTAAGATCAGAGGATATGTTAAGACGCGCGCGCGGTCACCGTGACTTCCCAATTGAGACTCACCATGACCTCAAAATCCACGCTAAGACGCGCCTGCCTGTCAAACAGTCGGACACGCTCTCACCTCTGCTCTTTAATTCCCACACACGACTTCGAAATCCATTTCAATCGTTTCGACTCCAAGCTCTCATCATCCTCTCACCGCTCTACAACCTCGCAAGATCTCATCATGGCGCCTCTTTCCGATGAACTCGTTGCGCACAAGCAAAACAAATTAGACACTGCCGCGGTCGCCGCAATCAAAGCCCACGACGCGCATTCTCAAATGCTACCTGAGCAGGCGAAGCCTAACGCAAACGACAAAACTGTCATTGCTAAGGACCCTGACCAATTCGATGTACGTTTGCTCATGGTGCCTCACAGCGAGACATGTTACTGACATGACTTCAGTTCACCATCTGGAGCGGACTACCGCACGCCTGGATCATCGAGTGCTTCGGAGCCGAAGTCGCCAGAATCCTTATTGAGGACAAGTTCATCGACTTGGACCCGCATCCAGTGGACGAGCGCCCCGTTCTCCAATTCTCCGACTTCGATGTCCTGATAGCGGAGGCAGCCGGCTTCCACCGAGCCATCAACCTCTGGAACAAGACATGCGGCTTCCCCACTTTTGACCTGTTCCCCGAAGTGAAGGGGGCGTTGTCTGCGCAGGCCACACTGTTGGGTGGCTTACTACGTAACCGCCAGATCGACATCGACGTACCAAGCACCTTCCCCGGCAAGTTCAAGGGTCAGAGCGCAGAGAGCGGCAACCCATATCGGCTTATAAGGGCAGATGACGAAGACGTCAATGAGGCACTGACATTGAGTTACTACGACGTATTCATGGACATGGTCTGATAGCACTACGTCAACGCATCTCCTAGTCACTCGGTATGTCGGAGGTTCATTCTCCCCAAGCTTAGGATAGGAAGAAACAAATACCTATTGCGAGAATGTAGCAGCAGTTTCCCAATGTAAACTCGCTAGTTATGACGTAGGCTCTGCTCACGTAAGTGGCCCTACATAGCACAACATAAAAGTCAAATCATTTCCATTACGCCATGAACACCTACCCGGGTATCACAAACACCAATCCAAAGCCCCCGAAACGCCTCACAGTTAACCTGCCAGTCTACCGACCACATGCCATCCCTCGCAGTCCCATCGTCCACAGTCAGCTCATCCACCCGCAAGCGCCTCGCCCACGCCCTCAAACCCACCACACTCAACCCTTGTACTTCCTCAGCACATCCTCGCTAACCCTCTTGACACTCTTGGCAGACAAGCCCCGCTCGCCGCGTTGTTTGCTCTTGATGCTCGCTTCGTTGATGAGTCTGCGGGTATTGTCAGCCTAAGTCCTCTCGTTCCGTTCCCTGCTTCGTATCCGTCCATCGCCCGCACGAATGCATTTCCTAGCTCTGTGCCCTTTCAGAATATCCGAACTTGGTCGCACCGTGTCGCGATGTGATGTGAATCGAAGGTAGCGCGTAGCATCGCATCGTATCGTATCGTGGAGTTACAACATCGCAGGTACGTACTCTTGCATAAACAGCACATAGTTCAGGTATATCTATGTCGCACGTCAGTCTCCCATCTCCACTCCAACTCCTACTCAACGCATCAACGTACCAGTATATCCACGTTCTTGCTCAAAGGCCTGTTGGAATGCGCCTTGACGATCTTCTTGACGGTGCCGCGGGGGTAGAGGGTCGGCGCCATGGTGTGCGTTTGTTGTTTGCGAGAATGATGCGATGAATTGGAGGGTAGTGTATTGGCGATTCCTGGCGTAATGGGCGCGGTGTGCGGGGTATGGTTGTGTACAGTACGGGATGGATGCGTGGGTAGACGTGTCTGTTGACGTCGATGCGTGCAGGCGGGTCTGTGCGTTTACGCGCTGGCACGTGGGAGGCTTGGTCTTTACATCACATCCATGTAGGTCGGCTTTGATGGCACCCCGAATCGAGAGAAAGTTATGGGTCTATAGTATCACATATCGGATTGATTGAAAATCGTCTGAACAAAAGAGTTCTCATACGAGATGCATCTATCAGGGACTATCACAAGATAATGTTACACAAACGAGATTCCACATCTACTGCGCTACATAATCACTGTATTTACACCTTCAGGCCGAGATCCGCAGCGTAGGGGAGTACGAAAAGGTCACCGACGGATGATACTGAGGCATTGCTCTCAAGTAGTTCCTTGGCAGCCTGGGGTAGATGTTAGCATACAGCACATATAGAACAATGTATAGAAGACTCACCTTCTTGACGGACTCTTCTGTTACACCGTCAATCTTCTGGGCAACCTCGTCGATCTGGTACGGTTGGGTGTTGTGGATCAGACCGTTGCCAGTAAGCTCGAGACCGGCGCGGATGTCCTGGCCGTGCTCGAGCTCCTTGAACTTGGCGGCGGCCTTTGCCTTGGAGACCTCTTCGCTTGAGATCTCGCCGGAAGCAATCTTCTTGATGGCATCAACGGCGGCCTGGGCGGTTTGGGCAACAGCCTTGGCGGATCCGGTGATGGTGGTGTAGAGGAGACCGGCGTCGGAGTAGATGGCGCTGGTGGTCTTGACCTTGGCACCCTGAGCGGCGGCCTGGCCGAGCTTGGTGAAGCCTTGCGACCACTTGACGGCGGACTCGCCTCCGAGCAGAGAGCTGAGGACGGCAATCTCGGGCTTGTAGAACTTGCCGGTGAAGGAGCTGGAGCCGGGGAAAGCAATGACCATGGCGTTGCCGCTGTCGTGGGCGATGCGCTCCTCACCACCGTAGTACTTGGACTGGTCGGCACCGGTGTTGGATTCTTGGAGAGGGGCGCTGGGGACGTTCTCGAAGAACTCGCCAACCCACTTGGAGAACTCGCCGTGGTCGGCACCGTTGGCTACGACGGCGAAGTTGGGCTTCGCGTAGGCGATCTTGGAGTACCACTCAATGGTCTCGGCGTCGAGGTACTTGGTGTAGGGTGTGGGCGCAGCGGAGGCGGTGGGGACACCGAGGCCGCGGTGGAAGGCGAGGCTGTGGGCGGACTGGGTGGCCATGTCGGTGACGCTGGCGAGGAACTTCTTGTGGGCGAAGTGGATCATGGGGAGCACCTCCTCGGCGTAGACGTGGGCTGCACAGTGTCAATTCCATCCATCTCGGGGTGTCAATTTTGCCTACGCTGGTACTTGGTGGAGCTGGCGACCTCGCCGAGCAGCTCGACGAAGTAGGGCAGGTCATCGCGGAGGAACTTGGCCTCGAGCACCAGGTTCTCGCGCGAGTGGTGGGCGTTGAGGCTGGCGCCCAGGAGCTCGGATTCGCGGACAATGCGCAGCGTCGACCGTCTTTCGGTGCCCTAGAGGTCCGGAGCGTCAGTCTCGCTCTCCTTAGCATCGGCAGTCTCAATTCAGCGTACCCGGAAAGCGAAGTTGGCAAGGCCCTCGGTCAGGCCGGGCAGCGGCTGGAAGCGCGTGCCGGCCTTTGCGACAAGGGCCAGTGTCGTCGTGGGGCCGGCAAAGTCTCTGCTGGCGTACTTGACGCCCTTGGCCTCGCCAGATTGGTAGTTGAAGGAGCCTGAAGCTGGGGCAGCCAGGCCGCGGCGCTGGCAGCGGGCGACGGGCTGCTGGCGGGCTGCACGCTGCGCGCCCCGGCAGGCAGTCGTTCGGGAGAGCATCGTGGTGTAGGCGCCGGGCGGAGGGCTGGGTGGTGTGCGGGGGACGGCAATGGATGGAATGCGTCTGGTGGTGCGGCTGTCGAAGATGCCCGTCACAAAGTTCGTAGGCCGCCAAGCCCCGTAATGCCATCGACCGCCGCTCCATTGGCCGGAGCTCGACTGGGAACGGTCACCCACCCCACCCAGTATCATTTTCTAGGCCGCTAAGACTGTCGCTGCTCATTCCTCGCCCTCTCTGCTCCAGCTTTGTTCTCCCCGTGCGTCGCCAATGTCTCCCCGGTAGCATTACCCCACCCTAGATATCTGGCAAATATCTAGGCTCCATCATGTCTTACAACCAGCGAGAGACTCCGGTAAGACGCGCCGCCCTTGCGCCTCGCCCATGTCACATGAATCATAACCAACCACTCTCCAGGTCCTTGCTGAACTCTGCACCTCCCTGGTCAAGGATGTCTACGGTGAACTCGCGGCAGTATGTCTTGTCGAACCAAGTCCCTGCGCATCGCCGCGCTCGGGCGCAGTACTCTTCTGCAGCCAGGCATGCGACGGGCGCATTCAAGAACACTCTTCTAACTCCTCATAGCGGGTCTTTTCGATCCTCGCGCGCCACGGACGCCAGAGTCTCGCATCTATCGCACGCGTCTCCTACCTGAACCCGCGCCAGATCAAGTACGGCCTCGTCATCCTCCTCCAGCAGCACCTCATCTTCCATTCCGGCAGCGATGCGCCCTTGACCTACTACGAGATCGACTGGCAAAACTCGTACGCAATCGTCCGCTTCGGCAAGATCGTCAAGCTCGTCCAAGATCGCGACGGCAAAAAGGCCGCCAACGTCATGTCCAACCTGCTCGCGCTCGGGCACACACGCATCGCCGACTTGAAAGAAGCCTACTTCCCCTCCGAAACTGAAAGCGACTATGACTCAGACGACGGCGCGGCCAACGGAGCCGGCTCAAAGCGGAAACGGACCAACGGCACTCACGTCAACGGGACAGCGAAGACGAATGGCGTCACGAACGGCACAGCCTCTGAGTTAGACGACGCAAAACCAGACCCCACCGAACTCACCAACGGCCACGGCAAGACCAATGGCGTGCATAAGCCCTCCAAGGTGGACAGCGTGACCCACAACAGCGCTCCAGAAGAGCCCGGTCAGGAACAGGATGACAGCGACATTGGGTCCGTCGAGGAGCTGTACGAGATCATTCAGCGGCTGATGGAGCGCGGCTGGATCAGGACAGTCACCGAAACACAATACCTGTCCCCCGGCGATATGCACGACATGCTCTACCAGGAGTCCATCGAGCAAGACAACTCAGGCGTCACACCCACGGGCACCAAAGACAAGGACATTGTTCACAGAGGGACCTTGGCGCGTAAACGAGCAATGCGCGACGAATGGCTGACGGTCCCAAAGTTTGCCCGACACGGACAGACGAATGGTTCCAACAAGCGTGTGAAGATCAACGGTGCGAACGGCACAAATGGATGGGCGGCACCATCATCGGACGACGACCTCGTTATTCGCGTTAACCCGGAGAAGATTGCAGTCGCCATGCGCACGGAGCAGCTGGTCAGTCTGGTACAACAACGTCTTGGTTCTATTACTGCGCGCGTCTACCAGACCATGTTGCGCATGCTCGAGTCGAAAATACCCCGCTGTTGGGAAGAGTGGCCTGACCCACCGCTACCTGCCGGCGAAGCTGGAGAGAACTCGATCGACCCCCGCTTCCTCGTCACCGCCCGCGACGTCGCTACGAAGCTCAGCCGTGAGCGCGATCTGGACATCTTCGAGGGCCTCGATCCGAACGCAGCGGCCCAAATGACTCGCAAAGGGCACATCAATCGAGCCACAATCTGGACACAGCCAGTTGACCCCGCCACACTCAATATGGAAGACAGGACCAAGGTCGTAGACAAGCACATACAGATGCTGGCTGAAGACCCATTTCACTTTGTCACCTGGCACTCTCGCGCTGGGTTCTCGCAATGGCACATTGAGTTCGACGAGATCGCGCGGCAGATGATACAGACCGAGATCGAGAACACCATCTCTGCAAGGAAGGGATCCCTGGGCGTGAAACTGGTTCGCGCGTTGAAGAAGAAGGGCAAGCTCGACGAGCGCGCCATGTGCAACGTCATGATGATGCCCGCCGCCGACGTTCGCGGCATAGTCAACGACCTCACCATTCAGGGCTTTGTCCAGACGCAGGAGATTCCCAAAGTCGACCGACGCGAAGCGAAGCATTCCCTCCACCTTGTTTGGTACGATCGGCAGCGCGCCCGCGAAAAGCTACTCCACGACACTTACAAGGGCATGGTCCGCATACTCCAACGTATAGAATACGAACGAGAGAAGATTGAGTTTACCCTTACCAAAGCCGAGCGCTCTGACGTAGTCGGCAACGAAGAGAAATGGTTGAGCCCACGCGAGTTGGACGATCTTCGCAAATGGAAAGAGGTGCAAGAGAAGTTGTTGCTACAGCTATCCCGCGAAGATGACCTGGTCGCTACATTGAGAGATTTCCACGGGCCGCTGGTCTCCGCTTAGACCAGCGGAACATCACGGCCTGTCGTTACGTGAGGAGAACGATGGATTTGGCGTTTCATGGGGGCATGCATAGGTCTGGTTCCGTCCAGCCATCAAAAGCATTCGGTACAAACGATACCCTTCGAGCATATGGGCGGCGTTTATTTCTTGCATTGCATTTAGGTGTTCTTTTCGTACCAGCTTACGCGATCTGAAAGGAAGAAGATTTTTGCAGGTTGATCTTTGCTGTAGATCACGATTTGTAGTATAAACTTCAATGACTTCGGAAACGTTATCGCATCCTGTGCTTCTTTGACTCGTTGGCTATGAGTATCCGATGCACGTGTAGTCTAATGTCCCCGAGAATACCTGACCGGCGTACTTTAGTCTACGATGAAACTTGTCTCTTGTGGATTGATCTCAGGCGCTTCGAGAAGTATACATCACGTCTAGAGCCTCCACCCGTTCATGAAGGAAGTCAATGTATGCTTTAGGGCTTTCGTAATCGTGCGCACAGGAGAGCAGATGCTATCAAAGCCGACTAAGCAGTGATGTTCCACCTTTGGCTCAGCATAGACACAACCGCATCTACGCTCAACAAGTATTCCGCTGGTCGGGAATGGGCATTGGTGCACCCTCACAAGCCATCAGATCAACGTTGTACTCTATCGACACGTGCCTTCGTGACCTATGCGTGGAAAGGTGGCGAAGATGGCTAGAGGAACTCTAAGCGGAATTCCATCAAATTCGTCCCTGTCCGTCGCTACAGTATAGTGCCAGTCCACGCATGCTCCCGTTGCCAAATCCTGAACAGTGAACATTATGCTCAGAGTTGATTAACAACTTGCTCGCCCCAAGTCTCCGGAGTCGCAGGCGATTAGTCGTGAGACGTCATATGACCCCTTGGTTGGCAGCGCGAGCAATATACATGCCGCAGCAGATTAGATTAATGTGGCCGAAGTGAACCGGGAAACAAAACCTCGCCAGGCAGCACTGAGCCCTGTCTTCATATACTGAACCGGGTTGCAGGTAGGCGCCTCTTTGAGGCGTATTTGACGTCGCGACGTCAAGCAACGACGAAGGCATGTCGTTGCATCGCTATGGAAGTTGAGGAAGGATGTCTAGGTGTAAGGCAACGTGAGTCTGGTGTGGAAGCGCGCTAGTGGCTCAAAGCAGCCGAGCTCCGCCTTCGCTCGACTGTGCCCAACCACATCACCAATCCCTTCACGTCTACAGCTGCGCTAAGTACCGTTGTGGCTGCAACGACCGACCGCCATGAACGCGACAACGTTCCGATATGAAGTCAAGGCGATCTAGTACCTAGACGTCTCTAGTCAACCCCAGTGTTGCGTTCGCTCTGGCAGACGACAAGTCATTCCAAGCATCCACCCCACGAGCCACCGGTTGACAGACCTGGGACCCTGCTCGGCAGCCGGAGTGCATTGCCTAGTACCCGTTGTAGTACCCCCGCAGCAATACACCTTCATCAAATGTGGAGGCGGGCCGAGTCATGAGCATGGACGTTCTTCGCGGGCTTCGAGAAGATCCGGGGGCGCAGGTACCACATCAACATATCAAATGACCGAGCGTTGTCTGGAGAAGTCTTGAAACCTATCAGCGGCGGCATCACGGACATTCACACCGGCTGAAGTAATTTGGATATTGATGAAGACTTATGATCGCCAGCACCAGGGTTGAGCTCCAGCATACAAATATGCGTGCTCGCCAGACGTCTCATTCTTCACGCACTCCTCATCACACTCTCTTCTCTAGTCACGATGTTGTCTAACCTTCTCTTCACTGCTGCGCTTGCAGCTGGCGTGGCTCAGGCCCTGCCTCAAGCGACCACCTCGAGGGCTACCAGTACCACTCGCGCCACGACGACAACGGCTGCTCCAGCAGCGACTGGGAACCCCTTCGCTGGCAAGGACTTCTACGCCAACCCATACTACTCCTCCGAGGTCTACACCCTGGCCATGCCATCTCTTGCCGCATCTCTGAAGCCCGCTGCTTCCGCCGTGGCCAAGGTCGGCTCGTTCGTTTGGATGGACACGATGGCCAAGGTTCCTCTCATGGACACCTACCTGGCCGACATCAAGGCCAAGAACGCCGCCGGTGCGAAGCTGATGGGTACCTTTGTCGTTTACGATCTGCCCGACCGTGACTGCGCCGCCCTTGCCTCCAACGGTGAGCTCAAGATCGACGATGGTGGTGTAGAGAAGTACAAGACGCAGTACATCGACAAGATTGCCGCCATCATCAAGAAGTACCCCGATGTCAAGATCAACCTTGCCATCGAGCCCGACTCCCTGGCCAACATGATCACCAACATGGGCGTCCAGAAGTGCTCGCGCGCTGCCCCCTACTACAAGGAACTCACTGCCTACGCCCTCAAGAGCCTCAACTTTGCCAACGTCGACATGTACCTCGACGGCGGTCATGCTGGCTGGCTCGGCTGGGACGCCAACATTGGCCCAGCCGCAAAGCTCTATGCCGAGGTCTACAAGGCGGCTGGCTCGCCCCGTGCCGTCCGTGGTATCGTCACCAACGTCAGCAACTACAACGCTTTCCGCATCGCTACCTGCCCTTCCATAACCCAGGGCAGCAAGAACTGCGACGAGGAGCGCTACATCAACGCCTTTGCTCCTCTGCTCAAGGCCGAGGGCTTCCCAGCTCACTTCATTGTCGACACTGGCCGCAGCGGTAAGCAGCCTACTGGCCAGCAGGCTTGGGGAGATTGGTGCAACGTCAAGGGTGCTGGCTTCGGTATCCGTCCTACTACCAACACCGACAACGCGCTTGTCGATGCTTTTGTCTGGGTCAAGCCCGGTGGCGAGGTATGTAACCTATTTGTGAACGACTGAGAAAGCATGTGCTAACGAGAATCTAGTCTGACGGTACTTCCGACCAATCTGCTGCTCGCTACGATGGCTTCTGCGGCAAGGACTCCGCGTTCAAGCCTGCGCCTGAGGCTGGTACTTGGTTCCAGGATTACTTTGCGATGTTGCTCCAGAACGCTAGCCCCGCTCTTGCATAGATGGTTGACTAGTAGGAGACACGGTACCTTCGTCCAAGCTTTTGTCGGGATGGAGATTGTCAAGAGGATGCACTGTATATAGCTGCGATCGCATCTCGCTCGTTCCAGGTTCGTGAGAACTGTATATATCAATCAACATGTACATGACCATTGTGCACCCATCCAATGAGTGATTCCGTGTCCGACATGGTGACATGATGTCGGGTACAATGGTGATGCTGCCCACGTGGGGGCTGGACTCGGGAAGCCACATCACCTCATACCAGAAAAAAACTGAACAGGCCTAGAGCCTACATTAACGCTAAGTCACCTATCTTGTAGGTTTTCATGTTGATGTAGGCTGCAGACCTGTTTAGTTTTTTTCTTGATTGACGTGACATGTCTTGGCAGGGCGAGCAAAGGATCAGCCGTTGCGCGACCAGACCCTTGCGCCACACTTTCCTGCCAGCCCGAGTAATACCACGCCTCGCCAAACCTTCTTTGCCCTTAGACCTCCCGACCTACATCACCTTTTGCGCGCATCGCTCCCATTACACGTGCGATCACCCGACGCTCGTTCCCCTCCCAGCGCACCCTCTGCGCCCACCACCCACCCATGCGGCCCCGGTTCTATCGATAAGGCAGCGGAGAGGGCAATGCAACGCCCCAGGCTTTCACCTCTGCAGCCGCGACTGCTCGCATACCTCGTCGCTAGCAGCCTCTGTTTCGCGCTATGGACGCCTTCCCTTCCTCTTGTTCAAGCCGCCGATGTTCTTGCGACGCCCAATCACGACGCCCTTGACAGCCTCGCGCTGCACGCCTTTACCAGCGGAGATATACCACACATTGGAGATGGGGGACTCGACCGCGAAGAGAGCGATGGCTACGAGCCCGAGTTCAGCTATCTTGACCGAAGCCTGGTTGGACGACAGACAGAAGCGCCGGAGCCGCTGAAGAATAACGAGAAGACGGAAAAGGACATCGATCCCGAAACGACGTTACACTTTGTGTTTGAGAAGGGTCAATTGCGCCTGAGAAGTGTGCTTGATGTTCCCTTGGATGCTCTGGAAGCACGGGGAACAGACAACGCTTCTGATGAAGCTGGCTTGGAAGATGCGACAGTACCTGGAAAGGAGGGCGACATTGGTGACGATGAGATGGGAGAGCTGGCAAAGCGACAGTCTGGCAGTAGTCGCGTCTGGCTGACGGCCAACACATGCCGTCAACCTATGCCGAACGGAGACGCGAAGGAGGCAAGGAAGAACCACCCGCAGCTCGTCATGTACGTCTCCACATCGCCGCGTAACAAGCAACCAGGCCCAGATGCGACGCAAGACACTCTCACCAATATCACGGGCGTGCTCTTTGATGGCGGCTACGCAAGCTTCGAGCTCAACACCACTTCGGATGTGTACATTGGTATTGGGGCGCCCAAGCTCGAGGAAGACTGGTTTGGCAGCTGGCACTTTGAACTCGCCGCAAGCACAGACGGACCTTACCATAGCTACGACGACGCTACACCTTTCCTCTACATGATCGACACGGACAGCGAGTCCACCCTCTTCATATCACAGAACTTGAGCAGTTCGAACGACACAGTGGAGGTCGATAGATGGAGGGCGCAGAACCCCTTCCATATGTACGCCTTCCCAGACGGCGAATGGACTCCAGTGACGGGCCTGGAACGCTCTTACTGTGCGCTTAAGGAGCAGTTCAATGTCAATGCGACGAGGAACTTCACCATTGACACAAGCATCACGACAAAGTTCAATAAGATTGGCGGTGACGACAACATGCCCAAGAGCCAATTCCATGTCAGGAACCTGCAGAGTGCCAAGACATATAACGGATTCGTCGTCATTGAGGGGAGCCAGCAGCCACTTACCATTCCTGGCACGGGCACGACGAGAGGCGGAGGCAGGGTCTTTCAGGCTTTCAACTGGACTACCAAAGCTGGTGAGTGGACCCCAGTAATACGCAGAGAAACATGCTAACGATGTGTGAAGACGACTCCTGCCAAGTACTCTTCGATCTTGAATTCTGCGACATGGTCGCCTACGCCGTCCCCTCCAACACAAAGTTCAAGCTCAACGACTCCGCGCTCGCCGAGATCTACGAGAACCAAGCCCGTCAATACTACGACAACTTCAACAAATCCCTGGCGCAGGTTGCCTGCGACACAATCTCCGAAGCGCAATACTCCCTCGCCGTAACCTGCGAAGACTGCGCCAAAACATACAAAAACTGGCTCTGCATGGTCCTCATGCCCCGCTGCGAAGACTGGACTGCAACGGACCCTTCCCTCGTACCGCGGAATATTAAGACGCCCTTCGCCAATGGGAGTCTCCCGGATATGATACCGGGTTTCAACGACAGCGCTGCGTTTAGCCAGTCTCGAAACCCGAAAATCGACAAAGAGATTGAGCCAGGTCCGTATAAGGAGCTCAAGCCGTGTGAGGACATGTGCTTTGATATTGTGAGGAGCTGCCCTGCGCAGATGGGCTTTGCGTGTCCGAATGGCGTGCAGAGGATGGGCATGTATGGGGTTAGGGATGAGAATCCGGATCGGTTGACGTGTAGTTTCCCGGGCGCGGTTGTTAAGTTGAATGCGAAGGGTGGGGCGGGTGTAGTGGGTGTGCGTCTACACGCTGTTATGAGTGTTGCTGGATTGGTAGCAGTCATACTGCTGGCTTGAGACGGCACGTTCTCCATCACGCAGTTCGCTCTATCTGTAGTTATGATCCCCAACAACGCCATTCTTGCAGCGTTTAAAGCGAAAGTCAAATCCTATTTATCCTTCCCTTACACACTAAACTCCAACCTATTCCCCGCAAAGTCCCTTGCAAAAAACCTCGTCGGATACTCTACACCCTCCGCCCCGCTGTTCTTCGCACCAGGTCTATCCGCCTCCGACGGCGCCGCCTCCCCACCCCGCTCATGATGTTCCCATACCTTCGCTCTCAGCTCGTTCAGCGCTTCTACACTGCCAACCTGGAAACACGGATGCCGTGATGAAGTATGCGTGAAGTCTTCCGGCTTCCCGATCGCGATGTGAACTTGCTGGCCGGAGTCGCCAATGTCGAACCACGCGAGCGTTTCGCGTTGCAAGTGTGGTACTGCGCGTGGTGTTAGGCCCAGGGTTGTTGCGTAGAAGAGGTTGGCCAGGTGGAGCGTGTTTGGCGGGACTACGAGGTTGATGTGGTGGATGCCGGTTATCATGGTGGGTGTGGAATGGCTACGCGATGGCTTCGTTTGGGAGGGGAGTTGGTGATGGGGTAGTGTAAGACTTGGCGCGGGGGGTAGGGGTGAATGCTAATTGCGGGGTGAGGCTGGTGAGGCATGCGAGGCGGAAAACGATCAGCCGAGCTAGCGGGCCGTTGGAGACGACGTCTTGTTCTACATCGAATGTCGCCTCTTTACACGTGGTCTGAATGTATACATCACGCCTGCCGACACATGTACTTGCGATCAGTCGATAGAAACCAACCTGTTGTATCGCCATCATTCTCTTCACCCAGCCTTCGCCTACCAGCCGTTACAGCGGGCAAAGTCGTTACTACAGCGCGATAGCGTATTAAAAGAGAAGATTTACCAGACCTTGAGACGCATGTAAGCCAGCCTCGGATGTAGAATAGAAGAAGATCATCTGATTGGGTCGATAGGAGTACTTGTCAGTAAACCCACGATTCATGGTTGATGTTGCACCAGCATCATCGTGAAACGGCCCACATGGTGGCTGCCGAGGCCCGGGTCGCAGGTCGCATCGTCGACATGGATGGGACAGCCCTATGCTATCCTGATTAATTATCTTCTGTTCGCACCTTTGAGAAGATCATGGCTGGTAAATGAAGGATGCTTGGATCTTTAGCGGATGATGCCATCTTGCACATTTCGATCGCTGGCGAGTTCCAGAACATGCAAGGCATTAGTAGCAGCAAGCCAGCCGAGCCGACATGGCTTGCCAAGAAACAGCGACGTAAAGGTTCCGTTTGCAGACATGTTTGACAGCGGAATTTTTTGCGTGAACCACTTTGGAAGATTGTGTCTAGCTCAAATCGTACATTCGGCTTTCAAGGTGTGGACGAAGTACTGTCGCATACCTGGACGCGATGCGGGATGTCGAAGGGGATATTGCGCACGACATCCAAAACTCATGACATGTACCACTTGTCAAGCTTGCTACAGCACCCTAGCATCCCGTCCGCCGGCAACACAGCGAGGATCCTGCTCGATGATCGAAACCGTTACTGGAGTCATGCGCCCACATCCATCCTGGATCGCAGAAACAAGCGCTTTACTCCTCCCAATCGCATGCCAGCAAAACACGAAACACGTAGAGATCACTCGACAGATTCAGTAATCAGACATGGAGAACATGGGCACGCTTGCCTGTACACATTAGCCTCTTCCCGCAAACGGGGCACCGACTCCACAATAACGCCGCGTTGATGGACAACGCCATGGCATTCCTTTCATCACATTCCGCCGCAGAAGCAATGTTTCGAAACTCCACAGGCGCAACTCGCTGCGATGGTCCTCCGAGGAAGGCAGCCGTGGAGGTTTTGTATAAGATGGTGGTCTCCAACAGAAGTTTGATGGGCATCGACTTCGATCCGCACTTTCGCTTCCATCTTTACTACATTCGCTTTCCGCGCCGCTCTTGTTCTTTGTTGTGCTGTGCACCTACATTCTTTTTCTCAAACGACGTGGTCTATACAGAAACAGACGACTCTTTGAACAATATCGCAAGATGAAGTTCTACGCCGCTCAAGCTTTCGCTCTTGCTAGCATTGCAACTGCTTTCCCGCATCCCCAGCTTCCTTCTCTACCATCGTTCTCGCTACCGACTGGTGGATCAGGCTCTGGCCTTGGTGGCCTTGGTGGACTTAGTGGAGGCTCGGGCCTTGGTGGCCTTGGTGGAGGATCAGGAATTAGCCTCCCAACCAACATCCCCTCTCTCGGAGGTGGAGGCTCAGGACTTGGTGGACTTGGTGGAGGCTCGGGACTTGGTGGCCTTGGTG